GGGGGGGGGGGAAGCGGCCTCTTGCTAAAAGAGAAGGGAGAGGAAGAATGAAATTTTAGGGGTTTGGCCTTTTAGATTTGAAATAGGAAGGGATAATGTACAAATACCCCTTAACTTATGCCCGAAATTCCAGAGACACACTTATGCTATACTAAGGTCCTATTACCTCTGAACTTATTTTATAAGTAATTTTCTATCCCTTTTTAGCCTACGTGGCACTAGTTTAAAAAAAAAGTCAACCATCGTTGAGCCCACAAGATAGTGCCACGTAGGTCAAAAAGGGGTAAAAAATTATTAATAAAATAAGTTCAGGGAGGTAATAGAACCTTAAGTGTGTCTCTGAGATTTTGGACATAGGCTGAGGGGGTACTTGGGCATTATCCCAAATAGAAAAGAGATGGATGGCTTAATTTAGACCCTTTGAATCAATTAAGATGTAGGGATAAGATTGGATCTTAGATTTAATGAATTAAATGGATATATGAGATTAAAAAATGAAGTCTTAAAAACAAATTGGATTGGGAATAGAATGGGTAAAATTGCAATAAAATTGGCTACATTGAAACAAAGGATGGTTATAATTGAAATAAAATTGAAATTGAAGCGACTAGAATCGAAATAAATTTGAAGAAAATGAGTTGAAATTTAAATGATTTAAGAGAGATTTAAAGAAATGCTATTCAATTTAAATAAATATAGTAATATATTTTATATAATCAAAATCACTTAAAAATTTGGAACATTTGAATAATATTTACAATAATTTTATAAAGTAAACATACTAAAATATTTATAATTTTTTGCGAAATCGACCAAAATTTTAAACCTAAAAAAAATACGTATTATAATTGAATAGCATTCCTAAAAGATTGAAGGTCGACCAAAATTGGGGGTCAACACATGGATTGGCCAAATTTCTTATGTCTTTGTTTGAGTGCTTGTTTTAGTCCATAATGTGACTTAACAAGTTTTTACACTTTCTTTTATACCAGGAACTATAAAACCCTCGAGCTGTTCCATGTAGATTTCTTCCTCCATTTCTCCGTTTGAGGGGGGTTATTTTCATATACCACAGCTAATACAATTAACATCCAAATGAATGTAATTCTAGTAACTAATGAGTATGTGTCGAAAAGATCAAGACCTTGTTTTTGCCTAAAACCTTTGACAAAAAGTCTTGCTTTATATTTGTAAACAAATCTATTGACTTTCATTTTCCTTTTGAGGATTCACTTTGAACCCAAAGGTTTATTTCCTTTAGGAAGATTAACCAACTTCAAATAGAATTGCTCAAGATTGAACCAATCTGACTATTGACACCATCTTTTTAAAAGAATGAGTCTATATAAGACACAAGAAATGTTACAAATCATATTTGAAGGAAGTAGATATCCTTTGCCATTTAGTACGCCTCTAAATCTCTTCTGTAAGTACATTCTCCTCTTATTTTTTCCAAGGTCGTTTACACCTTTCACTAAACTATTCAAGTCGAAGTTTAAATTCCATAGTCTCAGGTCCTATTTTAATCATTTTAGGAATAGGAACATGGACTTTGGATATATGATGTACCGTGGTTTCACGGTACTTTCAATGTTTTTTCCTTAAGTTTAGTGTCTGTCTAAGGCCTCTTTGAAGTAGTTTTAATGTATTTTTCTCTATGTTTGCAGGAAAACTGACCAGAACGAAAACGCTGAATACTGTACTGAAATTTGCAGAAGTGATAACCTACGGAGCCATTGATAGTCCGTAGGTGGCAACCGTCCTTTGAAGATTTATGCTGCTAAGGGAAGACCGGGGAATTCTGACTAAGTGTAGGGCTACGGAAGGGAGGACGGTCTGTCGTCTTATCGACGGACCGTCCAGGCAAACCATTGGTGTTAACAGAATGTAGCCCCAGTACCTGATTTTTAAAAGATACTAAGTATGGAGCAACAAAGGCCATCAACGCACCGAAGGTCCATTTACAGACCGTCGTTTGGGTCAATCGATGGTAACAGAATGATGGAGAAGATAACAGCTGAAAAAGAGTTGAAGTGTGGACCAACAGAGGCGTCGACGGTCCGTCGGTGAGGTCGTCGACTCGAGAAGCGTTTTGGATAGAAGTTTTCCTTATTTAGGTTTCCCTAAATTTTTAGGACTCTTTTATTATAAATAGGACTAAAAACCTCATTTTTGGGATTAGACTCTTTGTTAATTTTGAGATTTGTATTGTTGGTTGTTGAACTTTGGATTTTTTAAAATATTTCACTTTTCCGGAAATGATTCTTACAATATTTTGATTAATTCAAGTGATTTTCTAGATAATCTTCAAACTTGTTAAAGTAAGTACATGAATTCTTGTCTATTCAATATGAATTGTGTAATTCTTAACATAAGTAAATAAATCCACAACTAGGGTTGTGGGAACCATGGGTAACTAACAAAGTAAAACTAGCTAAAATAACAATTCTAGAATAGTGTCTTGCGTGTATTGATAATTCTTTCTTTCAGAAGTCTTTTTAACGGTGGTTAACGTTAGAATTCGCCTACCAAGGAGGTAAATAATAAGAAAAGAATTATCAACGTAGATAAACTATACACTATCTAATAGGCTAGTGTTGATTGGTGCGAAGTAATCACTAAGTCATACATCAATTATCGTGTTTAATATGAGGTAAAAGGTAAGGTTTAATAAAGTATACACACGTAGCAGGACAAAGATGCGGAGTGAAATTCACAAGTTGCATGACCAAGGAATTAGGGATACATAACTTACCACTTTGCATGCAAGATACTAGGAAAGATTTGTTATAGCTAGGGTTATTGTGTTATGAATTTATGGGGAACACTTATACCCTAGTTTCTCTCGTCATTTGATAAACATCAAATATTTGAACTAGCTATTTGTTTACTTAGACTTAATTAATTACTTTTGTTACACAAAATCTCCCTTTGATTGTTGTTTCCGGAAAGGACTTGACTAAATAGAAGTAATAGTATATTAAAGTTAAGTCTAAACCATTTTCCTCATGGAATCGACCCCAACTTAACATTTGAGTTCTTTACTTGATACGATCGCTTATATTTCTTTAGGGAGATATAGTTGAGTGTATTAAATTTTGGCGCTGCTGCCGGGGAAAGTGACTTTTAGATCAACTTTAAGCACATTACCGAATTTTAGTCAATAATTTCCTGATTTTACTTTTTTTTGTCTCTCGCAAGTCTAGCTTTAGTGTATGCCAAGTACACGGAGTCGAGGAGAACCAATATTTCCACTTGATCTAGAACTAAACCGCATATTTTGCAAAATGAATATTCAAAACAATCCTGCTTATATCAATGATGCGATCAACCCTCATCTTCCCCCGCCGATTGATGCTCACAATCGACTGGTTGTTGATAACCCTAGTAAATGTAATCCGAGGAGGCAACCTCCCACCCTACGCCCTCAAGAGTACTATAGGGGAAATGTTAACATCACTGACTCTGATGGGTCACTTGTCCTAGCTCTTCTACCATATAGTCATACTTTTGTGGTAACTAGTAGCTTGATGCAGATGCTCACCGCCCTAGAGGTTTGTTTTCGGGGCTACCATCTGAGGATCCACATGCTCATATCGCCAAACTAAGATCGGTGTGTAAGAGTTGTGTAGGGAGGCTAGCCTTAGACATGGATGTAATTGGATTAAGGGTGTTCCCTCTCTCACTGACGGGGGAGGCCACAATTTAATTTATTGAGTTGCCCTACAATTCAATCTATACTGGGGAGAAATTGAGGGATGTGTTCTAAGCAACGTATTACCCGGTGTCTAAAAAGCTAAACCACAAAGATAGGGTGAACAACTTTGTGGAATTACCAGGGGAGTCAGTAAGCAGTTTTTGGGATAGGTTCACCTCATTCTTGAGAAGTGTCCCAAACCACCGCATTGATGATGAGTCACTGAAAGAGTACTTCTATCGGGGGCAAGATGATAATAATAAAGCAGTGCTTGATACGATTGCGGGTGGTTCTTATGGGGAGTGTACTTATGCAAAGATCGCTGAGAACTTAGAGAAAATATCCCGAAAATATAAAGTTTGGAGCGCTAGGTTGTTGGGTACTGGGAGAATCACTTTTTGCAGTTCAAGCTTTACATAACCCAGCCGCAGATGA